TGTGGTCCCACCCTACCTTTTGCACCCACTCTGACACGCCCCCATCACAAAACAGATGAGCAATTTTATCCAACTTTTTTAATAATTTATGAAACTGTTTGATTGCACAACTAAAGATACAAAGACTGGGGGTGCGGAAGAGTCTACCATTCGGACAATGCCAACAACAGTTGATCTACATTATCACAAAACAAAAGTTTATACGTAGTATTTTCTTTTGTTATCATCTGTGCGTGACGTCTTAGGCACTACCTGGAAGCTTTTACAGCATTGTGAACAGTAAGACACTGGTAACATGTCTTCTACACATTGGTCACCATAGCAATTAGACATCTATTTTCACACAGTCATCAAAAGAACTGACAAAGCCAATTCAAACACTATCTTTATGGCCCTCTGCTATGTTTGCCAACGAAGGAATGCACAAACATTCTCCCTCCAAACGACCATCTCCCAAAGTTCATTACCCAATCTCAAAGGACACCTTGATTTGTGTCACTGTACACTCTTTAAATAACGTTTTCTTTTTTCGTGAAACAAGTATATCAGGCAAAGAGGGCAAATAGCTGTGCGTAGAGCTAATAAAAGCTCTGGGAATATTTAGTCTCGATTGATTCTGTGCACCACCTGGAGGAGCCTGAGCTGCAGGAGTCAGAGTCAAATGTAAAAGACATCGACCAAACTATTCACCACCTCGATGATAATCACTCGGCAAACAACTTGCAACAAAACAATGAACGGTCATACAGCACTATGCTCCGCAGCCATTGCATCCTGCTGCCAATGGAGCTTTTATGGCCGAGAGTTTCCTGAACTTCCGGATAGGAAAGACTTCTAAGGAAAGACCAGTAGTTAAACGAAGACATAAACAGTTCTTGCACTAGAGCCGGATGAGAATTAATGTTATTGTAATGCAATAAGTCAGTGGATATTAAAGTGTGATCACACTCTACTAAATGAACAAAATGGAACCGTATATTGTAGTGCAGACGAAGATGATATATTTATTGCAATTTCGTCTTAAAAAGGCCTTTATACTTTGCTAGGGTGCCTATGTAAAAATGATAAAAATATGGAAAGGCAGTTATTCCAATCTTATTGTGATATTGATTTTAGCTTCTGCAGAGTACAGCCTGCTTTCAAAGCCAATGATGTACCATCTGGCAAAGCATAGGGAATGGAAAGGACTCATTCAAGAAAGCCCCATCAATGTGAGGCTGAAGTACGACAATCATAACAGAGCACAGAAGGTCTTCAGTTTACGACCCTATGACCCAAGAGATAAAACTGATTATTCTACATTTGTAGAAATATTCTCACAAGGAATCAGAGCCCATGTCTGGGGCTGGGAAATGAGATCAGAAAGAGGCGGCGAGTGAAACCAAAGCATAACTTTTTCCACTTACAGCTGAGCGATAAAACAAGAGCACTGGAGCGAGTGAAGGGCTCATGAAATGTGTATTGCAGACTGTCTCCAGCGCAGTCTGGAGTTAGTGTGGAAAGAGGAGCCATGCACACTGCAGATCTGTGTGTGTGTGTGTGTGTCTTTGCAGACAGCAGTATCTTTCCTTCCTTCTCTCTGTCTCCACTCGTCCTCATCCACATTTGAACACAGAATGAGAGAAATCAATAAGTCTGTGCAACCAGAAGTGAAAGAGAGCAAGCCTCCAAACAGCAGACAGGAACACAACTCAAATCTGGCACCAACACAGGCAGTCTTTTATCTTATTCTCTTTTCTACTAACTTCCCGTGTCGTGCTGAGACTGCAGTGCCCGCAAGTCCCAGACAGCTCTTTCTCATCGTGATATGTTTGGGCTGCATGAGGGTGATGATTATTAAAAAGGCTCAAGGATTTTTTTTTGACTAAAAATAACACTGCGACACAGGGCCTCTTTCTAAAAAGCTGGACACGAACACAGAGCAGAAGCAAATTCAACCCACATCACGTTGAGCTCCTCTGCAGCCTGCTGCCTCATCTGGTGCCAGGTTTGTTATTAGTCGAACTTTCTAGGAAGTAAACGCACACAGATGTATACATGATGAAAAGCTGAATAGGTGAGGTTTGCGTTGAGCTGCTGTCTCTTTCTATCCAGAGTGACACCGCCCCTCAGTCACATTCACACACACATTAATAAACTGTCTCATACACAGGCAGACATGGTATCCCCCCCCCCTCCTCCTCCCTCCTTTTCTAACCTATCTTGAGAGCCACCTACATCGAAGAGCGATGAGCCTCAGACTCTTGCTCAGACTTGAAGCAGTCTATCTTGGTCTCATAACTGCAGTTCTCTTGTTAATGACAGACTGTGTAACCTGATTCCACACCACACATATGCATACACAGAGACACACACACACACCACCCAGCCCCTCCCTCCAACACTCTCTCAGGGTTTTTTGGAAGCCAGCGCTTCCCTCTCCCTCCATTCGCATATTGTTCCAACCCAAACAGCCAGCTGCTTCTGACAGCCAAATTACTGTGCACAGAGAAATGATTGCTATCAGAGGCCTACCCCAACAACCCCCCCACCCATACTCGCCGTGTTTTCGGAAATGTGGGCAAATGATACACTTTATGTCCATCAGAAGGAACCGCTTCAGTAGAACACTGATGAAAAAGACAAGATTCCTACGGCCAAATAATTCAGGAGTCATCACCTGATTGAGGCCTGTGTAGAAGAGGCAAAACTTAATGGACAAATGTTCAAAGACAAAAGAGTTAGTGTTCAAAAGTAGTGCTGCAACTAAATACTTCCATTATCAGTTGATCTGACTCAATTAGTGATTAAGTCTTCAAAGCTTATTCCCATGAATACGTTACACAGAATATTTCCGGTTGGTTTGTCAGATGGAACACTTGGGCTCTACAAATGTATGATTTGGAAAAGTCTGATGCTTCACCATTTTCTTACATTCTGTTATCGATAACCTGCCTGTTTGTTGCAACACTAGCTCCAAGCAACGCGTCGGCAATAAGAAAAACTTGCTTAACAACATAAATACCGTAAGTATCATAAATCAGACAGAAATAAGGTCTCTTTAAAAACAAACTACAAAAATCCGTTCAACAGTTGAAGACACCCCAAACCAGTCCTTTTGTTGGGAATGCATGGTTAGTCTCAAAGAGACAGATAACCTCCAACTGGTTGAGGAATAAGTTACAGCAGATAGGCAGCTTGAAACAATGACCTGGCTCAGGGCCAAACAATAACATTGTTGTAGAGGGAGAGACGTTGAGAAGTCGGAGAGGACCCCACAATGGCTGGGTGGGCAACCACATGCTGGAGCCTGTTACCTCCAGAGAACAGAACAGGATACCAAAGATCTGCTCTGGAGCTGAAGCATATCTCAGCCTCAGACTGCATGTCGTCCGTTTATCAGTCCACTATCAGCAGACTCCACGACGCAGGCTCTGAGAACAGCCGGCGCCCTCACTGAGGCCTGACTTCAGTGACTGGTCAGCTATGGGGTTACATTCTCCAGATCACCAACTAACCACATAAACAAACAACCACTTATAAATAAGTAAAGCTTACATGATTATTGTAATCCAGGAAAAGGAACATTCAAGACAACAACTTATGAATGACTGTTTCAACTGGTGGGGGTCCAATTCATTTTGAGGGGATTATCCATGTTGATTAAACTAAACTGCAAGTAACTATTAATTAAATTAGTGATTGACTGATGATTTTGTTTCTGGTTAATCAAGTGTCTATAAAATATCAGAAATGATTGAGAAATATCCATCCTAGTTTTTCAAAAGTCATGGTCTTTACGTTTATTGTTTTGTCAGTCAAAAATATTCAATGTAATATGATATAAAAACAGAGAAAAGTAATATAAGTTATGAAATAAATAGTTAGTGTCATCCTGGCAATGAATGTATCCATTAGGTGATCAATCAATGCAGCTTAGACACAACAATGTGTCATCTTCATTGCCAGACACCATCACCCTTTGTCAGTGTCATAAATCTACATTCAAATGAGTAGTCTGGGCAAGTCACCTTAAATCCATCACACAATTAACAGATTGACAAATCCCAGAATCAAGGGGCTCTCAATAAATGTGGACTTGTGAAGAAGGATCTGATTAGTATGTGGGATTGTCACATCGTTGATTCTGAGGAAGAACACTTCAGTGTGAGACATGCCCATTCACACATCTTTTAACCTGGACAATTATCTCTGAATGTTTTCAACACCTTGATAATGAAGTTTGCACCCTCTGATCAGCAGGTCTACTGGCTTAACATTTAATGGCCCTGCAATCTTATCACAAACCACTTCCAGTTTGGTCTGCTCCCTAACAAGGAAACATGTCAACAAACACTTGTACATTAAATATGTTTGTGGTATTTAAAATGTTGTTTCAATGCCAACTTCTCCTGAATTAAATCACAGACCACTCAAAGCCAGACTGGGTGTTCACCACTGTTTTGGGCTATTCTCCCCCCTCCAGGGCTGCAATTGTGATGTTAAAGTAATCAGCATGGGATGATGAGACACACGATCAAGCAGGAACGACCCTCCCAAAAACTAGTTTGCATGACAAAAGTCTTAACAAAGTCACAACTAGTTGCAATGTTTAAGCTTGATTTGATTGTGACAATTACAATGCTACAGCAGAGTGTTCCAGCCTGGAGCTCATCACCATTTATAACAACAAGTCTACAAAAAACGTCTCTTTGACGCGGTAAAAAAAGGCTAGGCTGCGTGAAAGCTATTCATCTGCTAAATCATATTCATACAACATGCAGATACTTGTTCAAACACCCTAAAATGGAGAAGGTAAATACAATATGCGGCTGCAAAAACAAACAGGCCAGATTTGACAAAGAAAAGCTCAAAGGGATTTCTTTTGAGAGCACGTCATGAAACATTTTCCTGCACATCAGCAAACTTCTCGACGTTTCCCAAAATGTGTGAAAACAACCACATACATAATACAGTTGCAATATTCTAGTACATTTTAGCCGCATTGTGATTAAACTTACCTTGCAGGTTGTTTTTCAAAGTGCTGTATGAGGGCTGTGAAACTGGCGCAGGTCGAACTACTCTGCCATCTCCCGAGAATTCACCGACAATACCGGATTTGTTTTCCAAAGTCTGAAAAGCACAGCCTACATGACGCCAACATTATCGTCCGTCGTTTGCCCGGCGGTGAAAACAAGTGGAATATTCACGCGATATTTAGGAGAGAGAAACCATTGAGATACATTTTGTAACGTTGTTTCTCTACACACATAAGCACTGTCTCTCTGCGGCTTCACACAACTCGCACTCCGATCCACGAAGGCAAAAAGCCAGGAGTGGAGGAGGAAGTTACCTTGCAACAACTCACTGTAATTAACCAGCGCTGCACGAGACGAAAAATACGGGCTTTTCCGGTCACGCGTTTCAAAATAAAATAAAGCAGGTCTTTGTCTTTTTTGAATGTTATTTTTTTTCCCAGAGGTCGAATGACATGAATTAATATACTATATTGAATATATATATATATATATATGTTATGCATTTCACTTAAAACGAAGCTAAACAGAAGAACAGAAGCAAAATGTTAAATTGAAAAGTACAATTATTCAAGCATTATTTACAATTACTACTTGACTTGAGTATTTCCATTTCATTTAATCACGTAATTCACTCTATAACATTTCAGGGATGTCTATGATTTTAGATACAAACAATATGTTGCCCTTATAGTGTTTTGATAAGATGTAGGCTTGTCATTGGGTATGTTTGTTCTCGCTGTTTGTAATGTAAATTGAACTTTAAATGAAACTATATGGTACAGGAAACTCCTAATGAAATATAATAGTGTGACTGTGAACCAAAACATTTAATTAAATGTTACCGTTATGTATCTTCTGTTTACCCATATAGGTTCAAGTGATATACTGTGTTTTATGCTGAAGCAAAGGCGTCCATTTCCTGTCACAGGCAGGCTCTCTCCGGCTAACTTGACGTGGGCAAATTAAAGCACCATCGCCTTTTCGTTTGCTCTGCGCATGTTCCCGACTCAGCATTTAGGGAGTGAGGAGTTCAAGTTTTAGGAATATTTCGGGAAAATAGAAACAAATAATTAAACAAATTGGTACTTTTAAAAATAAACATGGATAATAAGCAGACATTGTAAAAAAATGATATCACTTTAAAATGTGTTCCCTAACATATTTTCATATTAAGTAGTTATATGTTAAAATACTTTAATTAATATTTTAATTAACCAGTGACTTGACTAATGAATTAGTCATCTTAGGTCTGACGTATCCTTTTGGGCCACTTTAAGGAACATGACATTTATTATGATTATATACAATGAAACCATTGAACATCGTTTCAAATATAGCTAGAACTACAGTATATCACCAAAAAAAAGCTAGATTGCTTCTTATTTCACAGTAATAACTGTATCCCTTTATTCTTTAAAGACCTACAGGATATTTACATTTTCTTAATGTGACATTAAGACATTTTCAGCATACAAACTCTTCAAACTTCAATGTATAGCCTGCATTATTGATCTGGCCCTATAGACAGAAAGGAGTGGGAACACCCACTCCTCTAGCTTCTTTCAGTACTAGTTGAAGTATTTGTAGGCTAGTCTACTTTTCTTCAGGGCTTCTATTGTATGCTACCTTAGCCTAGCTCACTTTGGACCTTCTACATAATTTCAGAAGTTAAAGGTGGGGCAGGTAAGTTTGAGAAACCGGCTCGAGATACACTTTTTGTTATATTCCATGGAATGCTCTTAACATCCCGATAGCAATGAATATCTTAAGTGCTTTGACAAAAAATCCATAAAAAAATGTCATCTGTGGAAGCCGTAATACTGTAAAAAGTACGACCAATCATTTTAGCGGGCCCGGCTAAAATAACTGGATGGCCTACCTGCCTGTCAGCCTTCCATCTGTGCACAAACTTATCTCGTGCCCTCATTGGTCATGTGCGCGTTCGTGTGTGTTGGAGGAGGGGCTCTATAGAGTGGCGAAGTCCCTCCCACTTACTTCCGGGGTATGGGACCTTATTCCGGAAAAATTATGCATTGAAGTCAATGGGGAGAGAAAACTTATCTTTCGATCCCGTTTGAATTGTGCCATGAATTACACATATGATGTTTGTCAATCTTAAAAAATCATTTCCATGTCAAAAAAGTCACAGTTTGTCGTAAAACTGTTGAAATATAAGACTATGAAAAATACGTAACTAGAAAGACTACAAATCCCAGAGTCGCGTAAGTGATGTCACAATTGTTTACCTCCACCATTCAGATACCTAAGATCAGCGCAATATAGATATAATCTATCTATATGGCGCTGGCTAAGATAAGATAACTTTAACAAGATGCCTGTGTGCTTAGTACCAGGTTGTTATTATACCAGCAATGGGTCTTGCTCGTTCTTTTGCTTCCCGTCTGATGAAACGACCAGGAGTGGCTTGATCAAGTTAGCTACCTAGATAGTAGCTAGCACGTTAGTTAGCATTACAGCCTTGTCATTTTTATTAGCCTTAACATGAAGTAACATTAAGTAACCCAAAATGTTAAACAGTAAGAGTAGTAGTCATATTTCGTGAACCCTTTGAATAGTACTGTCACCGGTGTGATCATTCTATAATACACCATTTAATTCCGGGGGAGAAATGCTAACGCTAACGTTAGCATCGGCGATCTTTTCTACTTCATGCTATCTGCACAAATGGTTGACATTAAACATTAAAACGACCAGGCAGTTCAGAGAGAATCAAAGGAAGGCAGGCTTTGCATGACATTCTTCAGGACGTGTTTCATTGTGGTGATAGTCAATCGTTTGTTGACAAGACAGTAGTGACGGCCATCTTGGTGACGTGTGTGGTTGACCAGAGATGTAGTTCATTGAGCCTTTCACACAAACAAATGTGTTACTTCACAGTTTTACGACACATTTTAATTTTTTTGAGTTGCAAAATTATCTTTTAAATTGACAAACATCATATGTGTAATTCGTGGCACAATTCAAACGGGATCGAAAGATAATCTTTCTCTCTCCATTGACTTCAATGCATAACTTTTCCGAAATAAGGTCCCATGGGGCTCAACCGGAAGGGGAGGGACTTCGCCACTCTATAAGGAAGTGGCAGATTTTCTCCGGTTGTGTATTTTCAAATTCTAGCGATTTCGAGCCGGTTTTAATGTGATTTATTTATTATTACTTTGCGGATTTAGATTATTTATACCAAAACCATGTAACAAATAAACGTAATTATGACAAACATTAAGCTACCCAGAAGACCATTAAGTAGTTAAAATCCACTCAATATTTAATACAACAATAAAAAACACATTATTCTGTAATAATAATGTATTCTGCAGGAGTATTTAAAGTCTTTTTTTTTTACATTGTGGTATTACAACTTTTACTAGGGCTAAGTAATAGTCTCAAATATAATTTATAGTCAAACTTAAAGACTTTCAATTAAGTCTTTGCATTATTATTATTATTATTATTATTATTATTATTATTATTATTATTATTATTATTATTATTATTATTATTATTATTATATATTTTCCAGCTTGTTTTTTATTTATAAATTAACTAACTAACTAACTGACATACTGAATAACTAACTAACTAACTAACTAACTAACTGACTTGACTAACTGACTTGACTAACTGAATAACTAAGTAACTAACGGTTCTCCTACCTGTCACCTCAGAGCAGCAGCTGCACTCCAAGCTGTGTTAACTGGAAACCGTTTCCAGGGCAACGAGGTTAGAAGTTTCAAACAGTCAGTGCTGCTCCGTACAGTTTCTTGCTTTTCTTCCACAATGTCCGTGCAATCCCAAAAGTAAGTTAAAACAACTTCTGTTTTCTTTTATCAAAACTATAATTGCTTTGTTTTAACCTGTTTTCCTGTAGACTCATACCTTTAACAGCGCGATGTTTGTTGAAAGGCTCGGATAATTAAACGGCAGTTAGGGTCAGCTAACCAACGCTAACGTTAATGTTGTTCATTAATGCTAACGTTAATGACGAAGTTACGTTAAGTTCGTAAACATTTGACAGTGTACCGGGTTTTTGTTTCCATTTTCACTAGAAATCTCTCAGTTACAATGAGTAACGATCTTCAATCTACATCAACTGGCAAGTACTAATGTTTAAACTGAAATAATTTGGTTAACTATAGCTTAGCCATTATCAGCAGGCATTCTGACCTGTCTGTCTGACCCTGGTGGGAAGTGGTGGGGAAAATGTGGTTTAGTGTAGTTCATGATGAAATATATGATGTGTTTCCCTAGTTTCATAAAATAACGTTGTGTGTGTGTTTGTGTGCGTGTAGACATAAATGGCCAGATCTCCCAGATCCCAGGACTGTCCCCTATCAGCTCTGTAGCTGAAGAGAAGGTCCGAGGGCGGAGGGCCGGAGTCCGAGAGAGTGACTCTGACTATATCAAGCTTGCAAAACAAGGAGGGCATAAGGGTAGATCCATCTTGTTGTGTTATATTTAGACACAGTCCAGTGTGCTTAATACTTTTGCCTACATATATTTTGATCCTTTTTTTCATCAGGGCTTTTGTGGCACGAGGCAACACTTACTTCTAAATGTGATTCCTACAAACCTCTGGATTCCTTCCTCACTGCATCAGAAGGGGACGGCTTTCCAAGGTACAATTTGTCTTATAATTATCATGCACTCTAACTTGTGGTGAGGTGATGATTTATAATACTCCTCGTACCTCAATTACTAACACTAGTACTACTAACTGAATAATACATTTGCCAGTACTGCTTCATTACTCGTACTGCTTGAGAGTACTGTAAAATAGAAGGAACAATACGAGACTGATTCTATAATTTAGGGTGCATTTCACATCAACAAAACAGTACAAAGAAAGTGTTCTTTCTCAATAGAACAATCAGTGGTTCAAGTTAGTATATTCCTCAGTGTAACATATCCACTAGTTGCAAAGCTTAAACATTTTTATTTATTTATTTATTTTAAGGGAAAGGATGTTTTCACTACTCAGTTTGTCAACTATGTTACGGACAAACTTGATGTCATTACAATCATTTGATTAAGTCCTGCACTTCAAGTAAAATCAAATTTGAAAGGCTCTTGAGTCTATTCTACCATATATCCAAAGATTTTTTAAAGTTTAAAAAATAATTGTATTAAAGTTTTGTTTTTTCATGTGATATGTTCAGCACTGTCATTAAGTTTAGGGATATTTTGTATTATAAAACTACCATACAGGTCATTTTGATAGTTTTAAGAGATGTCATGTAAAACTCCAACCTGTGTAGATATACATTATACTATAAAGGATATCA